TCGGCGTCAACTGATCCTCAGAACCTGGTTCAGAACTTGCTGGATCTTCTGGACTAGCCTGGGTAGAAACGGCCAGGCTCCAGAGCAGTGATAGGAAGTTTCCGTTTCCGTGGGTAAAACCAAGGAACATGACGGTCTCTGCCTACAAGCAGAAGGTGGAGGAGGCGAACCAGCGCTTGAAGAGGGTGTTGCGACGCCGTCTGGATGCCACCTTTTGGGACCACAGCCAGCACATGAGGATGGGAGCTGCACTGTTAGCCAAGGATGGCGTCCACTTGATGTCAAAAGCCAATGCCCAGTTCTGGCTTTCCATTCGTAAGTGTATGTGTAGGTATGTTTAAATGCCCATGCCCTTTCTGGTAGATAGTCGTAATTCCAAAACTCAATAATTGTGGTTTCGGCCCATTGTGTTTATAAAGCAGTGGCAAAAGGGTTCGCTGTTCGAACATGCTGTTGTGGGGATGGCGCGAGTCATCGCCGGTTGTGGGCCGTGGTCGACAGTTGCATTGTCTGTGACTTACATTTGACTCCTCCCCAATCTTACTCACTTTATGGTTTCAACAACTGTACACGCCTCCCTAATCTAGCATCACGTCTCACTTATGACTCACTCACTAGCCCTAACACTCACTCGCTTCTATGGAAACAATGCTCGCCGAGCAAGGCTCTTTTCTTGGTAAAAAGACATGTCTATAACAGATGGCAAAATGGACGTGGGAGTCCAACCAGGTGCCCAACGTCAACCCTGTGACAATCTTATTTGCTTCATGCATGTGGCAATGTTTTCATATATGATATGCGTGCATATGTCTCTTCTCCGTGTGTGAGACAATTAGTGCAAATGGGACGCACAGATCAAACCTGGGTGTTATCAAATCTGAACTGTTTTGACTCCCGTCACGCATGGGGCTTAGCTTCGGGTGTCTTTAAGGGTGGGAAAATATGATGACATCCGCACGTGTCACACATGACGCAAAAGCTAAGACACGGGGCTTTCAATCCATAGTAACAACAAAACCCTGTGGTCGATGTACGAAACATGACAAGTACCTGCAGCGTGAAAAACTGCCGTAAATCGGGTTAAATCGGGCTTAAAAGCGCCCTGGCGTCGAACCTGTTAAAGACAGGTCACTTCTGATGATACCACCAGGTAGCCCTGGGAACCAACTTTACGTCGATGTGCAACATGTGAATGGGTTGTGTATATTCAAAGTCCACGCGACGTTTACAAGATGCTCGCCAAACAAGGCTCCTTTCTTGGTAAAAAGACATGTCTATAACAGATGGCCAAATGGACGTGGATGTCCAACCTGGTGCCCCACGTCAGTTTGGGGTGGGGTCCCAAATTATACTTAGAAATATATTGTGCAAGCAATATGCCAATTTACTGTACATTTTGGGGATTGAATAGTGGCCTAAATACATTTTGGGGATGTGGGGTGTGAGGTGATGATGAATTTAAGGGGATCGCCTATTTTGTTCTGGAAAGGTAGAGGTTATCAATTTTGTACACATGTACTAGGGGGGGTAAGCAAATTTGTACATAAAAAGGATTATGCTTAAAATTATGGGGTGGGGGGTGGGTTTAATTGATTTTGAATATGACATATGCCAAGGGGGTGTCACTTACTTTGTACATGAATTGTAGGGAGGTCATTCACATTGAACATGCTTCTCCATAAAAATCATCACCAACACCCACCCCATTAATTATGAACGATCCTTAAATATGTATGTAGAAACTATAAACCGGAAGTTGTGAGCTTATTTATCGTGTGAATGGGTGTAATATATTTTGTTGAACACTGTCAGCGAGTCGTTAATTCGATGAAAATGAATTGTTTCAAATCCTTTTGAAAACGATCCATTGCCATAGCATTTCCTCTTTCCATTGCATCCCAAAGCGTTATAGGCTATGAGAATAGGTTGTTTACGTGAACAAAAACTGAAGCAATTATGTTGTGCGCGTAATCAGGTCAGTGCTAACGTTATTTGTGTAATGCTAATTTCAGTGTACACTAATCCTATGTTCTAACAACTATTACGACGCCATTAATGCTCTGTTTAATGTGACATAATGGGGAGTAAATGGTTTGACGAATTTACAAAGCAACTACTCAATAAGAAATTCCGAGAAACGACAATATTACAATAACTGCAGTACTGTTCTATTAGCATTATTTTTCGTCCAGACACGCTAATTCTTCGTGCTTTGACAACAGTCGTCAGTCGGGACAACTTCCAGATTCTGTAATAATTCATAATATAAGAACCACAGAGTTAAAAGTAGGTTTAATGTCGATTTAAGTTTAGGCTTGGCCAATAGGCAGGCCTATATGCCAGTATCAGAGTGACAGCTGCTGTTTGACCGTAACTACCGCAGCACTCCAAGCGGGCAAGGGGGCGCAACTCCAGGAATGTTCCCCAATGGCTGTATTATTACCTTGATAACTAGTTTTGTGTCGTTGCAGTAGCTGCAGTAAGATAGACCTATGTTGAAAATTTGAAAGATAAGTTTTGTGACTGCAGACAAAGTAAGAGAGGTAGGGGATTGCTAAGAAAAAGTGGCTTTGGATTTCTGAAATGGGTGAACAAATTAAGACTTTGAATGGCATATAGAAGTGATAAACATAAAGGGGAGAATTTATGGATATCAGCTTCATTACTATACACAATATATAATATTTTCGCATATATTTTTACACCTTACATCATGCTTAAACAGTGAAATGTTAATTCTTGACTTTAAATAAGATAACTTAACAGCATCATAAACTGACATGCTAAAACACCTACAATACAATGGACAATTCAAAGTCACTAATAATAGTAGTACACCCCTCAAATGAGTTTCATCTCTCTCTGGTTTCTGAGGATGAACAAATCTGAATCCCATTCTGTTGATATATATTACTGCATTCCCCTACTTTGTAGAAGATACTAATGTTTCATAATATGTTGCTTGATCTTTTTATTTGATACAGTGAACAAATATGTCAATTTATAATTCTAGTCATCCTCATACATTTCAGCCTCATCCCTCAGCTGTATATTTCAATAAGAATTTAGAAAAACAAAACAATGGATGTTAAAAAGATATTAACAAACAAGCCATAAAATGTGAGCAAGGCTCACTAATAACCTCACTGTGACTCCCAACTTCAGCTGAACAACAAATAATAATTATTATTATTCACAAAAATACAATATCTGTATCGAACTTTGCACTGCACCATTCTTACAAACTAAGAAGCCATTAACCAAATCTGAAAACAATCTATTGAATGATTGTAAAGCTGATGGTTGAACAAATATGACATGGATTTGTTCCTGAATTCAAGAGATGTAATTTGTGATAATTCTAGAAAGTACCAAAATATAACTTTGAATTGCACCTCTCCTAAAGATATGGAGGGTCATCTCCACATTTGAAAACAATCCATTCAAATGTATTTAAGTTATTGGCTGAACGAAAATTCTGTTAGTTTTTTTTAAAGTTAAAAATACAGTCGAACCCCGTTTACTCGGACCCCGTATATCCGGAAACCCCGCCTTCCGGACGATTTTTAGGTGAAACGAAACTTGCCTTCAGTAATTGTACTCGCTTAGCCAGACCCCGCGCTTCCGGACCCGCACGGAGAAGTTTCAAAACATTCCCATAGATTTCCATTTAAAAATGATCCAGTTATCCGGACGGAAAGATCTGGGCACATGTGCATGTGTACATGTATGTTTCACGTCAGTATTGTTTACCGGACGACTAAGTGTATTCATTGTTAATCTCTCGGCAGGCGTTTGCTGTGAATTGAGTACCCATCAAAACACTAGGGACGCGTGTTAATCTCTCGGCAGGCGTTCGCTGTGAATTGATTACTTACCCATCAAAACACTAGGGACGCGCGTGTTAATCTCTCGGCAGGCGTTTGCTGTGAATTGATTACTTACCCATCAAAACACTAGGGACTCGTGTTAATCTCTCGGCAGGCGTTTGCTGTGAATTGATTACTTACCTATCAAAACACTAGGGACGCGTGTTAATCTCTCGGCAGGCGTTTGCTGTGAATTGATTACTTACCCATCAAAACACTAGGGACACGTGTTAATCTCTCGGCAGGCGTTTGCTGTGAATTGATTACTTACCCATCAAAACACTAGGGACGCGTGTCACTTCAGTGATGGCAGGTGTGAGAACATCACATCAGTAACAAAAACACATGTTAATTAGGATTAGGATTAAGCTGAGCCGCGGAATTTGATGCAGCAGTTACCACGAAATTAACATAGCAAAAGGCACATCCATGGGTAATGATTAACATGTGTGTGAAGTTTGGTGAACCTAGCATGTAAACTTTAAGAGATATGCTCCGGACAAAGTTTGGGACGGACGGACAGAATGAACGCTATATACCCCCGTTACTTCGTAGCATGGATATAATAAGAAAAAAGGAATCAAACACTGCCTTGCACTGCACATCTCCTTCAGACAGTGTGTAAAACAGTCTTGCAAGTTATGCCTGAATGTTTTAGCCCACAAAAGAATTCACTACCCTGAAATTTGAATGTAGACACAGGTTTCATCATTAGGCTGCTAATATGATGAACATTTATATCAGGCCATAATCTTGCATGATATAATAGTGTATTATAACTGAACAAGTCGGAGAGAGTGATATATTTCCAAAATGACCCAATGAAAATAGCCAGTCGGGCCAGTGACAGAGATTTACTGGCCCGACTTGATTTTTACTAGCCACAGGCTAGCAGGCCAGTGGCTATTTCGCACACTGCCTTCAGACAAGAAGCCCTTTTCCAAATTTTAAACCATCCAGCCCATTGTTTTTAAGTTACGGTATTGGCTGAACGGACTTTCGTCAGTTCCAATTTTAAAACTTGTGTTTTTCTTAAAAATGTTAGAACATCCTAATCAAGATTTTGTACTGCACTTCTAATTTAGAAAATATTAGTATGTTGCACTAATCAAGTCAATGGTGAGGTTTTACCTTCCAACATTCTTCCTTTCGCTCATCTTCAGCTTTTTCTGGAAAGAAGTTGAGGGCTCCAAAGTAGACTTTAACTCTTTTGGAAGCTGTTGAAGCATGGAAATTTGTGACTGCCAACTCATCATTCATAATGCCATGAGGATATTTGTCATGACATTCTTTCTGTAGACGTCCGTGTGAAGCATCATCTACAGCTTTTGATACCACTCCTTCACTTAGAAGAAGATCATGACGACAGGTTATGACAAGAACATCAACCTGAAAAAGTGAACATAACAATAATGAGTTGAGTTTCAATCTAAATAATCCAGGATCTCTTTCTGTACAAACAACTGTTTAAAACCTAAATAAAACAGGTACAAACCTTTTCTTATCAAAAGATGTAATAACAAAAACGAAAAAGATCCTTTCCACATCCATAAGAAATCTAAATGTAGAGTTGACTATATCATGAGCATGTGTTATGCAAAGTTTTGTCAACCGTTCAACTGAAAACATTTTGCAATGTATGGTAGAAGTCAAAAAAGTGAATTTTATCGGAAACCATTTTCATCACTGATGCATCAAATTTTGAAAATTTCCAGCACATATCTACAACAAGCATTGTCATAATACCCTGCCGCAAATTCTCAAATCAAACTTAAAAAGTAATGAAAGTTTAAGATGAAGTTAAATGTCAACAAGCACATGACCAGTCAACCTCTCTTGATATGTTGATCTTTAGTTGTTCACACAAATATTTTCAAGACTGACTCTAGCTCCCAAAGTACTGCTTCGATTTTTGTGCTGTATGTCTCATTTTGTAGGTAAATCTATTGGCTTGAAATGTGTGCATACTTTAAATGGGATAAATACAGTGTGCATTGTTGAATTCGCCCTGGAAAGAACTTGGTGTGTTGACCTCCTTACATCCCTTTCCTTTTACATAGTACTGAGACCCCATCAGTGACAGTATATACCTTGATGGCAGTTTTTAGCGTTACAAGCCCGTGCTTGAGATATCTCGCTGACAAGAGAAAAACGTTAAAGTGCCCTTGTGACCTTGAAATTAAGGTCAAGGACATAAACCTGATTGGGACCTTTCTTATACTGTGATGAACCTAGGTACCAAATATGAAAAGAATCTAGTCAACGGTTCTTAAGATATTCAAATTCGTATGGACAGATGGACGGAGCCTAATACTATATCCCCGGCTTCGAGCTCAACGCGTGGCAGGGGATAATAAACCTTCTTGAAAGCTTTACTGAGGCCTAGAAAGTTGTAATATCGTTCGAACAACTTTAGAGCAATGAGGATGTGCTTGTTGTTTGGTTTCAAAATGATAAAGAAAGAACTGAATAAAGCTTAAGTTTGCTTTTTATATCAAAATTCAGCTTGAAAATCATGAACATCTAAAAATGGGAAAAAGATCCATTCTTTTCAACCAGTCCAGAAACAATATCTTCTTAAATAAGGGGGTGAGGTGGTTGAAAACATTGATACATCGATATTTCTTTGCTTTTACTATTAAGGCAACAGTAGTTTTACCTTTATTCAATGCAAAGTTCAAAAGTATTCCAAGCTTTTTGTATTTAGAATCTATACTTATTGAAATACCACTATCAGAGCGATCAGTGAGTTGTCTATCCCTTCTAAATACAACAATTCTTAACTTACCAAGGTTAACATCTAATTTCCTTTCAATTGAGAAATTTTCCAAAATAAACCTATAAGGTATAAACCTACCACTCAGTCAGATACAAAGATCACACTGTTAGCAAACAGTAACATAAAAATCTCCAAATATCAGGATATAGGATACATGTTTGCCTTTATGAATTATTTTATTTTCTAATTCACTAATAAAGAAGGAAAAAAAGAATGGGACTTAACAAACATGTTGCTTCACATCTAATGGGCATCAAAAATAGTCAGTGAATCCTCGTATTGCTACATACACAAGCCTTTACGCTATCTTAAATACCCTGTAACATAAACATCTTCCCATCCAATCCCGCCCGTCTCCAACATTATTAACCATAATGTCTGTCTATTTACTGAGTCAAAGGCTTTCTTAAAGTCTCAAATACTTATGCACAATTGCATACAATGTAAAAATATGATCAGCAGTGGAATAGCCTTTCATGAAGCTAGCTTGTGTTTCAGGAATTTTATCTCTAATATTTCCCCACATGATTAGTCTTTTGTTGAAGATAGAAGTAAACAATTTACCTAAACTACTAGTCAAAGATATGCCTCTATCATTAGCAGGGTTATTGATATCACCCTTCTTATGTAATGGTATATGGAACAAACTGAGCTCAGGTTCTGGGAAAATTTCCACTATTAAAAACATAGTTAAAACATTTATGCAAGAATGGTAATATGAGGACTTCAGAAGTTTGGATCATATCTACTTAAATCTTGTTCCGACCAGGTGATTTTTCACTTTTGATATTTCCACTGACCTTGAGAATTTTGGTTTCTGTTATCATCGAATCAAGGGTTTCAATATCTATTTCTGTATAGCCACTGGTTTCCAAACTATCCATAATCTATGTAAATATTCTCTGTAAAACCTTGGAAAGGGCAGTAAATTTATTTGTCAAGAAGACTTTAATGTGTTCTGATAAAGCATTGTTCCACTTGTACGTTTCCACGAGATTAAGTGTAACGCCTGATTGCTTATCTGACAGAAAATGAGGTAAGTAACAAAAGCTCCCAAGGCTGGTAGTCAGACTCAGTCACGGACGCACATTTAGAATAGTTATGATATCGAAAAAGGTGAAGGGATAAAGTAATCATTTACACTACTTCCTTGTGCAGATTCTTTAAGGTAAAATCTGTATCTAAAACTATATATTGTATATGGAATAAAACATCTTAACATCTTACAGAACATGCCAGATCAAATTACACAAAACTAGACCCATACTACCATAGTTACGTGGATATGTCGTCAACAGTTTAAAATGGCAACAAGGTAAACAAATACTGCACAATAGTTGCTGTTAATACTGCTTTTTAAATACAGTTCATTTATGCGAAATCTTTGCTTCAAAGATCAATATAATGCTAATAATGCTGCAAAGATCTAAATAAGCAATGTACCTACCTTTTGTTTTTCTAGTGCACCAACAACTATTTCCAGGCATGGCTTTGAAACCTCAGTTGATTTCCCTGCATAAATCAAACAGTCAGCACTGAAATTTCACAATTACAAAAGACTTTGACAGATCTTCCAAGTGTTTTATTTACAAGACAATGAATGTGCAGAGAGTGTTATGGGCACTGAAGCTGACCTGGACACACTGACAACAGATGAAACTCAAAAGAAAGAAAGGTACTCCAAAATGTTGCTGTCAACTTTGATATTCATATATTTTCTGCAGAAATACAGAATACTAACAAACACTAAATTCCTAATGACGTGAACTTAATACGGTGCTATCATAATGAGAAACATACCTGCCAAAGTACAGTTTTCTCACTTGGGACATTTCACAGTAGTTTACAGAGCCAACTTTGCACTTGGACCATTAATAAAATAGCTTTTTCAATGTGGCAGAAGTCTCATAAATACCCAGAAACAAAGAATACAAACTGACAGAAATGTTTTTGCATTACATCGATGCATCAAAACATTCTTACTAGAAATAAGTATTCTAAATAATTATGACGTCACTCAATCGACAGCTGATTTCATCCATATTTTCAATATTTATTCGTCTTTGACTTCTACTGTCTATTGCAGAACAGTGTTAAAACAGATATATTATATTTCAAATTGCAAGTCTACATTATAAAACAAATTAAAATCACTGTAAATACAAATATATATCAATGTGTAAAATGATCTGGACATATCACATGATCTTGACTCAAAGCAAAGGGCTTTATTTATATCCAAGTTATTTACCACATTCATCACCACTCTTTACCTTGAAGAAGACTCCATCCCCCTATCGATCAATGTTACTTGTAAAAACAAGACAGACCAATCAAAATGTGCATAAGGATTGGTGTCCTTTGAAAATATGATTTTGATTCCTCAAATGATTCATAAAAGAATAAGATCATTTTCAAAAATTGGACATCGCAAAGTAAATGGATACTAGAACTGTGCTAAGTGAATGTAGTTGTTGAACTGATACGACCAAGGACAGTGACAGATTGAAATACACACACATGATTTGTATAAATTCAGTTAATGGCTCAAATGACACCAAGGCATGTTTTCCATTGTGTCTTCCTTAACTTAATCTGTTTTGATACATACTAACAAGTAATAAATCTTTTTCAGTAATAAACAAGGGTCATCAGAAGATGACAAATGCCCCAGCCCCCACATATTTAAAAGGACAAATCATCTGACAGTTACTTAAAGTCCAACTGGATTTGTTTTAGACTCAGTCCAAATAGTTTCCATGGAAATCATGAAAAATAAAAATGACAAAAATCTGTAAAAGCAGAAGGCACCACTTCCAGATCTGTTTGATATATCTGCCAGGTCGTGTAGAAAGATACTGAAAGGTCTTTGAGTTGTGCTCCGAAAATGAAATCCACCCCTCTCTTTTGAGACTAAGTCCAAAACATTTGCATGGAAACCGAGAAAAATAAAAATGACAAAAATCTGTAAATAGCAAAAGGCACCACTTTAGGTTCTGTTTGATATATCTACCAATTTTTGTTGAAAAATATTGAACGTTTTTTGAGTTATGCTCCGGAAACAAAATAATTACAGACAGACAGACAGACAGACGGATGAGGCATTGACTATATCCCTCGCATTACATGCCAGGGGAATAATAAATAATATTTCATGTGTCTGGTATTTTCCCAAGTTGCTTTTCCGCACCACAATTCATATGGTTTTAGTATATAAAAATGGTTAGTTCTTTTTAAAACAGCAACAAGCTGTCAATATTATTCATCTCTACCTAGAATCAATTCATTACCAAAGTTAAAAGGGTTATATTGCAAGTAGGTACACAATAGGTATTAATATTACTAATACTACCGAAGATTAAGTAAGATTTTTCAGATAGTCCATCAGGCAGGAAACAAACAAATGGCACCTTCACTGACAAAAAGGGTTAGTGTGATGAAGATAAATTGGCACAATATCTTGTTTGATGCTGTAACTTCACATAAAGACAGAGCTTGAGCTGGTATCATATCAATATTCCAAAACCCAGTCCACACTGGCCAACAAAATAATCATAGTCATAGAGATTTAAACCAAACGTGAAATATAATCTAATATGCATGCATTTGTCCAAGGTTAAATAACATGATTCAAACTTGAAAACACTGTGCTTGTCTTTATGGTTATCTCATAACAATTAGCTAAAAGAAACTTCAAACAAATCTGAATATACCTACCTTTGCTCAAACTCATCTTCTTCTTGATCTTCTCTACTTGTCTCAATAGACTGATCTTTTTTGAGTCAGGACAGGCATTTGCAAGGATTTTCAAAGTTTCGTTGGAGCTTTTTTCATCAGTTAGCAGCTGTACATCAAAAGTGCATTTGAATTCTTTAAAAGCTTCTAGAGCGCCTTTGATAATACACTTTACACCATATGATTGCAGTCCTGTCCTATAAAGTGCTTCAAGTACAAATACACAAGAAATTGTATTGCTTGTATCTTCAGCTGCTTTCCTCAGAGTGTCCTTGACCAATCTTCGAACAGTTTCCTTTTCTTGGTTTCTTCCTTCTTTCAGACTTTCAGGTATCCAAAAGAACACACAGGAACTGCATTTACACCATTTAGGATTTGAAAAAACCCTTGAGGTGCTAGTCTCACCTAGTGTTCTGAGATCTTGATCTATGATAATAAAGAATGAAAGTGCATGAAATATTTTATAAAGTAATGAATTTAAACAAAAGTTAAGAAAATTCAACATCAATGAAATGAAGGTCATCATCATTGCTGCTGTGATGCAGACTTTAATTGGTTTAGTAATCTAAGATGTAAAACATTCACTATGTAGAGTTGCATACCTTAGTGACCTATGTCCTGGGTCTGTCCATTATCTAGCCATCTAGCCAATAGAACAGCACCCATATTAAAAATAAGGCCATATGGCCCTGGAACTCACCTGAATTATGAGGAACAAAATGACGTTCAAAAGAAAGTACACACCTGATTCTTTGGTAAAATATTTTCTTGACAGCATTAATATTTCAAAAGTGTTTTGATTCTGCCTTGTCACAAACATTGTGCAAGTGTTTCCGAAACACCACAGATATCGTACCCAATTACAACATTGCTAGCAAAATATTTATGATTTTATTGGGATTAGTCCCAAAACACCAGGTGTGTACTTTCTTATGTACGTCAGTATAATAGTGGTCATTTTAAGCTCATTTTAGATCCTACATACAGCAAAAAAGATTAAGCTTGCTTGAAGACATTTACTTCATAAACTGACACATTTAGAACTAAATACTTTAATTGTTACATAGGTGCTGGAAGATGGAATGCAAACATAATGCAACATATACATTGTTCCCTTGATTTGAAGTAATCTGATATAATTTCTATGAACAGGCTAGTGAACAGCAATTTCATTTAATCTAATAACTAAAACTAACTTTATTAATGTTTGAAAATGATTTAAAAAAAATTATTTCATTTTTTAGAGGGATTGTCATGAGCAAGAAACGTAATGATGTCTAATGATTCACCAGGTGTGCACTTGTCACAAACCTCTAACAATTTACTTGTTTTGTTTAGCATATCATCAACTTACATAAAAAAATTAAATACTGTGATATTAAACTGTTAACCTTATTGCTATAAGAATTGTAAAAAAAAAATACAAACAATGTCATGTAGTCCTTTTGGTCAAACCTTCCACCATTACTCTAATAGTTCCATATAAAAGAAGCATATTCTTTATTTTGTAACTATGAAGAGAAATATCAACATGGATAAATGACTAATTGAAAATGCATTATCTGACATAGGGTAAGTATCATGAATGTACAATATATAGTTAAAATTATCAGTATTCCTGTACCAGTATATTTATATGTGATATAAGATTTACTCTTAAGTTCTGTTGAAAGGAGGGGTCAATACAACAGGATTGATGGTTGCCGAACCTACACAGACATATAGCTGAAGGAGGATTGACGAACATGAAGGGTGAAATGTGAACGAGCAGTTGTTGTGGAGAGTCATCATTGAAGCTAAGGCCCACGACTCATGAGGTTTTCACGCAGCTGGAGGGGGGAAGACCGGTGAAGGTGTAGGCTTGCAGTTTCAGGATCGTTGATATCATCCAAAAGGCCATAGTAGTTTGGGAGACTTACACTGATGAGACTGTAGAGAGCAGAATAAACAGGCGCTTGCGCAACTTTCGACGATCTCGTGAAGCAGCAATGTAGATCTTCAATGCTCGTACTGGGTAGAGTGAGAGATCTTCTGTGTCGTCAGGTGATGATGGACAACAGTGTAATTGTATAGAGTCTGTCCAATCGTCCTGGCAGTTGGTTCTTTGCTATGAAGTCCCATCAAAGACCTAGGAAGACTCTGCCATGCTACTCCTTCTCAAACTGTACCCAGTTAACGTCCACAGCAAGCAGTTCCGACATACAAGAAGCAGTAGCCAAGGCTACCAGGAGAAAGGTCTTGAAAGTAATGCGCTCAAACTTCTTCTCATCTAAAGGTCCATAGTCAATTGAGACGAGGCACTGAAGAATGATGAGGTTCCTGGCCGGAACTGGAGTTCATTCAGAGTCAAAATCTTGGTCCCCATCACCATCATTAAAACCGTGTTGATAGCTGCTTGGTAAGAAGCCAGGGTAGACACCTTCAGTTCTTAGACGTATGCAGGTGTTGTAGATATTCAGCAACATACTGAATGGATGCTGTAGTAGGAGACAGTATGCCCTTTACTCTGCAATAGTCTTCAAACTTCTTCCACTTGTCATCGTAGAGTGAATGTGTATACATGCAATGAGCCAAAGTGATTGCCTTATCAACCTTCCTTGAGTACTGTTTAGCAATCATTGATTTCTGCAGATGCGCCAAACATGAAGATGTACCGTAGATGTACCCATATAGTTGATCTGGGTGTGGATGGATCAGAACATTGTCTCAGTTGGGTAGGGCCACCAGATCTGGATCGGAAAGACTTAGAAGATTGATGAACCAACTTCGAGCCAGCCAGTAGGCGCGAACAAAAGCGGAATAGCTTCTGTAACACTCGAAGTAGTAGAGCTGGTGGCGGAAATGCGTACATGTTCAGATTCTCCCAAGCAATTGCTAGAGCGTCTTGTTCCCATGCCAGAACGTCTGTGATTGGAGATACGAATCTGGGTAGCTGGTTGTTGAACCTGGTCGCAAACAGATCGATTTAAGGATTGGTGACTGGGATCTGTGGATGTATCTTCCATTCAGTCAGGGACGGCCAGTCTGATTGTGATAGAGTCTCATTCTTTACCAAGACGATTCGCTGCGGTACGTGGTTTTCTTAATAACTGTGATTCCCAATACATGATAAGAGAAACCCCTATGTGTCCCGATGATGTAAATTCAAAGACAATTGATGTGGTGTGTTTCTCCTACGTTTTCTATCGTGCTTTTTTTTATCAATACAAACGCCGATACAGCCTTTATCTGGATCCCTGAGTGTGATCGCTGTCGCGTGGTCTCACTATAATGCTGCCTAGCTCGCTTCACTGCTCTCTTCATTATTTCACAAAGTCGGATATGTAGTCTTCACACACACAAATTTTTCCCATGTTATAATAAAGTGAAATTGTTTAGTAGCCAGTGTGGTCATTTACTAAGGTCTGAAGATCTAATGGTGTACAAACGGTCAACCCACTCTATGACATCACCTTTTCATTATGAGATTGACCTCCATGATGTTTAGTGCGAAAGATGGTTGCACTTACAAAGTTGGAATGAGCTCTGACTTCTTGATGTTGAGAATCTGCACAGAAGAGTAAATGCTTTGAACCGGATCATTCTCAAAGGCGGAGATCCGACGATCAGTAGTTTGTTGCCCAAGCTGAGTGTTGATATGACGAAGGGATCTCCTAAGGTGTGTTTCTCCTACGTTTTCTATCGTGCTTATTTTTATCAATACAAACGCCGATACAGCCTTTATCTGGATCCCTGAGTGTGATCGCTGTCGTGTGGTCTCACTATAATGCTGCCTAGCTCGCTTCACTGCTCTCTTCATTATTTCACAAAGTCGGATATGTAGTCTTCACACACACAAATTTTTCCCATGTTATAATAAAGTGAAATTGTTTAGTAGCCAGTGTGGTCATTTAACAAGGTCCGAAAATCTAATGGTGTACAAACGGTCAACCCACTCTATGACGTCACCTGTTCATTATGAGATTGACCTCCATGATGTTTGGTGCGAAAGATGGTTGCACTTACAAAGTTGGAATGAGCTCTGACTTCTTGATGTTGAGAATCTGCACCGAAGGGTAAATTCTTTGAACCGGATCATTCGTCAAAGGCGGAGATCCGACGATCAGTAGTTTGTTGCCCAAGCTGAGTGTAGACATGACGAAGGGATATCCTAAGGTGTCCAATAGGTGAGCCAATTCTTCCACCAACCAGGGAATAGGGATGACTGGGGGTGGAAGATCCCAGTCATGAAAAGTCTCCTGACATTCATTGCTTACTGGACTCAGCTCTTCTAGATGAGTCTGAGTTTGGGCCCCTCTGTCGTAAGATGTGGATTGGGTTGTCTTCTTGTTTAGTTTGAATCAATTCTGGCAGTTTGGGATTCGTCGAGACATACTGCGCCAGGCATCTGTGTTGAAGAGATTCTTGTTCTACCGCAACAACCAAGTGTATCAGTTCCCGATCCTCAAATAGGAATGGAGTATTGTTTTTAATTTTTACTACTTGTGATCTTCTTTAAAAAGAGTTAAAATCTTAATTTCAATAGTAAAAATATGTAAATAAATGAAATTCTTTGAAAAGGCTCTTAATGATTTTTCACATTGTTTTTCCTTAGTACATATACCTAGAGTTTCATGCTTATTCTTATCAACTGGTTCAAAGAAGAAATTAATAGGTATGTTCAGAGATGGATACAGACCAAAGGCACCAAACGAAGTCATATAAGTTCACTTGGATCTTCATTCCTGGTGAACTAAAAACTGTTTAATGATAAATCAATAGAAAAATATTGAATGTCATTCATATATATTACTTACCCTCTTGCAGACTTCGAGGTAATTCTTCTGGCAGCTTCCCTCCAACCGTTGGGATAACAAGGATTCCAGTATTTACATCTTGAATATGTCCTTGGATAATGGAGATGCTTGAGCCATTTTTTGTCCACTGAGACAGTCTGACACAACCTTGAGTCAATCTCAGATGCTTCTGTGCAAGCCATTCTTTCACTGCTAATTCTGCAGTGTTTTCCTTCACATGCTTCTCAAATTTAATCACACAACGAAGATTTTTCTGTGCATCTCTTAATAGTTTCTGTCCCTCATGAGTCTGCAAAGTTCCCATTTTATCCAAAAGAGAAAACTTTCTGACATGCATCTTGTCTAAGATACCGTTAAGTTTTCTTTTGACTTGACCTGCCACTTCAGCATGCCCAGCTATTGATAATTGAGTAGGGTAATGTTCTATTCTGACATCTTCTTTCTCAATTGCATCAATATCTTCTGGAAAGATAACCCTGATTCTATCCCATTTTTCTTTTGACATTTCTAAGAAGTCTGTGACATCTGAACAGGTCTGTTTGATATATTGAAACTTGTCCACAACAGCATCATGTACATCATCTGTACAAAGCATGACCAGACTTGACTTTGGAGCATGTATTCTGATCAGCAATTTGCCACCATGAATATGGTCTTGAACATCCAACATGTCTTTGATGTTGGCTAGAGTGCAGTTCTCTAAAAGGGGATCATTGAGCAATTCAATTTCATCCTGTTTGAGACAGTTCTTAAGATCTTTGACTCCTTGATCAAGATTTTTCTTTTTCAAACAATACATCTTCAATGATTTTTTATTCATATCAAGTCCAAAACTGAAGAGTTTAAGTTTTTCATCAATGTAACTGATGACTTCTGGCTTCTGAAGGAACTCATATTCTAATTCAGAGAGTTGTATGTCCACATATGGATTTGTTGTGATCAATTCAGCTTCACGTTGCTTCCATGAAAGTATCTGCACTATCTTGGCCTTGACTTCCTTCATGTGTTCACGGACAGCTACAACACAAATCTTCCCATTCTCTACATGCAACTTAAACATGCCCTTGATATCGGGCAATGTTTGTGAAATTGCTTCTTCCAACTGCCTGAGATCAAACAACTCAGTTTTAGTCTTTTCATGATCAATGTCAGTCACACTTTGCACACACCTTTTCTTGTGGAACAATATGCTTTCTTCTACAAGGTCTTTTACATCATCAGTGCAGACTATGGACAATAGACCTGTACTTTCCTCAGGTAATGCCATCACCTTTCCCTGGTAAGAGATATTATTGGTAATCTTCTCACACATGTGTTTTATTCCAAACAATTTGACAACTGGTTCCTTTCCCAGAGAAAGTTTCATTTCACAAATGTGTGACAGAAAGAGGTGCCAAACTTTTGGCAAAGCTGTTATAGATGCAGCACACAGTTTTAGTCTCGCATTGTGAAGAGCAAAAGCATATCCACAGTCTTCAAATTTTTCCTCCAAATAACTTCGGATGTTTCGGTTTTGTTCCAGAGACATATACAGCAATTGTGAGATTACCAATTCACACACTTGCAGTTTTGGGGGAAAACCTAGTTTTCGTTTCTGACCAGTCAGACAGTTACCGATACTTACCAGGCACTGCTGTACGTGAATTCTTGCACCTGTGATTTCGACTCTTTCACTGGACCGGTGTAAGCTGACATTCCCTTTGAACATGTTGTCCACTTGTGTACGTATTAACTGCATTGTGCCATAGTCAAGTGGCAAAAATACACCTTCATGCTCATAATGATGCAGAGTATTTCTGACAGCCTCTTCTACAAGTGGTATCATATCCATTGTACCACACACCGTTAATTCTTTTCTGCTGTCGTTAGCATCCATGATGACATCTTCAGCCCAGTGTGGTTCAAATTCCAAGAGTAATGTTTTTAACTGTGTTGGAGTGATACAAATGTGGTCCATTCCCAAATCAAATGAAATTATTCCTATGGCTGTTGACAACATTTTTGAAGCTTTGGATAGATGCATTTCATGTTTTACATGGATCTTTGCACTTCCATACTCTGCATCTAAGTCTATTTCAAAACCATCACGTTCAGACTTATCCTTAATAACCTGTCTAGCATGAGATGATTGTTTCAGTAATTTCTGCATGTGTCCTTTGATTACAATATCAGCATGTAGATTTTGAGAAGCGGCCTTTCTTCCACCTGCAGTGCCTGTTTTCTGCAACCATGTCTTTACTGTTGTCACTCCTACTTTTGATCCAACGAGTCTTAAACCAGGTTCCCCATCCAAGAAAGTCATCTTTACCTTTAATCTTGGATTATCTACCATAGCCTTCAACTTAGACTGACCCTTGCCTTCAACATACTCCATGTGATCTGTGGAAATACAGACCAGGTCCTCAGTCAAAGTATACTTAGATCTTAAATCTTCCACCTCTCGCAATACATCCGGGAAAATATCAGCTGTTCCAGTCAAGACAAGACAGTTATTTGTCTTGTCAATATCAACCATAAGTTTCTCCTGGTGCACTTGTTTCTTTTCTAAAAGCATTTCCTGCATTTCTTCCAGTTTCAGCAATTGACAATCATCCTTGTAAATTGTTGTTGACAAAATGAGGTCCTCTAAGGATTCATATGTGATGTTCTGGCTGCCACCACGAATGACTGCATTTTTTTCTCCAACTTCAATAATAAGACCCCTTTCTTGTAGCACATTTTCTACATATTTTAGTCCTTTTTTGTTGGACTGTAGGAACAGCAGCAAATTCTGCTTCTCAGTTGCTGAAGATGAATTTACTTTCTGTTTTGACAAGCAGGTACGTACTTCATTTTCAAATTCTTCAACCCCACATTGAGTGCCCCTTACAAATAAATTGCATTTACTGTCATTTTTGACAGGTCTAACTGATACTCTGCTTTTACTGCCATTTACAATATAAAGAACAGGCTCAAATGCTTCCCAGTGATTTTGTGTAGACAGATATTGGAGCTCTGTGCTGCTTACCACTATTGATTTTTCCACAATCACTGGCAATAAAGTCCTTAATGAATCCTTAACAACTCCTAAAATGTCTCTAGTTGCAACAATAGTAACTTGTGCCCAAGAGGAATCAGGGATCAGGATGTACCTGCCTTTGATAGCAGAATGCCCCTCCCTAATTGAACTTGGACTGTCTAAGGGAGGAGGCCAAAGGAGGGTTTCTGTTTGTGTCAATATACAATCAAGCATGATTTTGTCATTTAACATTACATTTTCCCTATCTGATTTGAGGATAACCTTTTTCTCTTCAAAAACAAATGTTACATGAATGTTCTTTTTTTGGAAGAAGGAAAGAACATAATCCTGTGCTTCTTGCTGACTTTCCAAAAGTTGGAACTGAGGGTCTGTAAGTGTAACCTCCAGTGTTTTACTGTCACCTGGAAGTGTATGTCCAGATGTTGCAGAGTCAAGTCTGTGACATCCATCAGTTTCTCTTTTGTATTTTTCAGAAATACGTTCCAATTCTCTACCAACCTCACCTGTATATTCCTTTTTGGTGGCAATGCACAGTTTACCACTATGAGTTCTGTGAGCTGTTGCTTTGTGTGACATGTATAGTTGTGTAGTTGGCCATACCTTAAGCATCACCGTCTTGAATTCATTGGAACCATCAACATCTAATCTTGTGCACTTTTGTGTCAGCTCCTCAAAGAGATTTGTAACAGGTCTAGTTGTGTAGTCTAAGGAATCAGCTGAGTAGGGATGAGTAATTCTGCAAGTTAATTCAATTCTACCTGATTGCTTAGTTATTTCACAGTTATGTTGTTTGAGTTTGTGTTTCAAGGATTCCATTTCATTTTCCTGTGTCTTAATATGTAGCCAGACAGCCAGTTCCAGGTTTACATTCACACAGGTGCTATCACATATCTTGCCTTTGGTGTCTATGAAATTGATTATTACTGGGCACAGCTCATCCTGCTCAGACGCATCATCTGAAAAAATCAAAGAAAAACAATTTTGATTGCAGCACAGTTGATTAGTATATTCATCAAGAACTTCAGTATACGTCTAACTTAGTAACAGTTCCTTTCACTAGCATTATATGAGTAATCCTAAGATCTCATATTGCTATCAACTCAAATCCAATATACAAATTGCCAGAGGTATATAGAAAATATAAAATGAAAACATACAGATCAGAAATTAGAGTCAATATTACTCGCATGAAAAACCCCAAACGACCAGGGCCCACTTTGCACCAAGATTTTGCACTAAACAATCTTAGTGCTACAATTACCAGGTACTGTAAATCCCTAAAACCACAATTATAAGCTTGGGCTACAATTGCCATCCATTTGCAAATGGGATTGTAGGTAAGATCATTGTAGCTAACTTGAATTGATACGTGTAGCAGTGATGTTTTCACATAGTTTTCACATTGTAGTTTGTTTTATTTAAAATGTCAATAAAAAGTTATGAGTCATTCTCAAAATTCGTGCATATTTCATGTTGGCAAAAATTTTAAATTTTGTTTTCTGGTTTTACTTTGAAATGTCGTTGATTACATTCATAGTATTCTGAATATGCAAAACATAAATTATGCAAGCTTAACGACGTTTCATTTTTCAAATTTTACCCCTTTTATTAGCAATTTCACGAAATTGCATAAATACCGTTACGAAATTTGAAACGTCATTTTGAAAAGAAAAAATACAAAGATGATATATATGTAATGTACATATATATTAAACTATCTAGTTTTACAATATAACATGGCTAATGAGTTCTGAAATTTTATATCTATTGCTAAAAAGGGGCCAACAAGTCACAAAAATTCTTTCATTTCTGATTTGCAAATGTAAAGTAATATGTAGTGAAAAATTCAAAATGAGAATATGACTTATATTATGCTTACTTGAAGTTCTACTACCAAACATAGTTGCACTACAAATTCCAGACATAAACAGCTAAAACAATTTTAATTAAATAAAGAAAATAATACTCTTATGGTCCTATCACAGACTTTTTCTTCTTTGTCACAGCCGTTACACTTCCCTGTCCTTACCGTAACAAAAAAATAATAATATTTTATGTTACATAAGATTCCAAAACATTTGAAATCTTTGAATTGAAAATTTAGATACAAACAACATTAAACTGGAAAATATCACTGCCGTCACAACATCTGTCCTTACGGCAACAAAACCTATGATAACGGCAGTGACCGTAACGGTAGTGACAGCAACTAATAATATCAGTTTTATAACAATAACTGGTCCCCAAAGTTGACAGAGCACATGGTTTCAAATGATATCCCCTACTGTCTACGGTACTTGGCATTGTTTAGCTTCACAAAATTAACTGGTTTCAGCGGTAGCCACCATAACGGTTAGGACATGCAAAAATCTCAGATATCATTTTGTACACACCTTTTTTTGCAATGAAATTCAGAGAAATGATTTTTTTGTGTCATTGTTTGACTGTCATGTTTCCTCACTGCCATTGGTTGCAAACATGAAGTAGAATTAGAAGATAGTACAGTTTGGATGATGTTACGGTAGGGACATCAAACTTTGTGACAAAGTTTGACCTTTTTTTTACAAAATGTTTTCCAAATAAAAAAAAGGCCAAACCATGGCAAGCATGTAGCTGTTACATCATTAATTATGATATGTTAAAAATTTCCTTTGGAAAAGATAAAAAAGACCCAAAATAATTGAATCGCAAATCGGCCACTGGACTTGTGACAACATGAAAATTGAGTAAAATTGGGTGGTTTTGGGGGTTCAAACTAAATATAAAAATATTTTGTTACTGTAAAGTGTAGAATAAACTGAGATAAATTAGATACCATAATTTTTTTTTGATTTTGACTTAAGTTTGTCGGGTACAAACATATAACATAAATATACACAAATTTTTAGAATGACTCTTGTACAAAAACATTTCTTGTTTGTGTTATAGTTTTGTGGGTAACAGTATTATTAAAGGTATTCTCTTTACCTGTTGTCTGTGTAGGCCAGGTTGATGAATATGCATATCGCGTGCATTTCATGTTAGTGGAAATCGTTGTGATATTATTGGGGATTTTGATTGGCTGATTGGATCATCTGTTTCAATAAGATGATACCTTGTGGTGTCTGAACATGTGAGGCCAAGTCAGAGTTGACACCAGGTTAGTTTATATTTGGTTGTACAAATGGTTTATAAAGTTGTCAGCCTATAAAGTATTGGTAAGGTAGTTAAGCTACTGTTCTAGGCTAAAAACGTCTATTTAAACATTCTGTAATATTAGCATCTTAAAAATGTAAATTTTATGTTTAGCAAAACTGGTTGAGGCTGTAAAGTATTCACATCTAACGTTGTATTCCATTGTTATTTTATTCACACATGAATTCTTTGCAAGTTTTCTAGAGTGTAGAAAGTGCTCACTGTGATAATGACTGCTAAGAATGTGATGTGTAAGCATGTGCTACTTATGGATGTGCTGTTGGATATGTACAATTGACCATTACATTTTACTAAGGTTTTTCATCACGCTGCCATCGGACAGAGATAAAGGAGTCACTTTGTCTTAGGCCTAGAAAACAAACGTTGTGGTTCCGATTACCTGACCGACCCTTGAATTCTGTTCCAACCCTATTTATTAAGGCCAAACAAATTTTATTTCTTGTTTTATGGATCCGACTGTCGTATTCTTTCAAGAATAAGAAAAGAAATAAAAATTAATTTCCCCCTTTAAAAAAATAAAATATTAATGTTTTTTATTGACCAAAAATGTAAACTTACAAGAAAATGTTTTTTAGATTTATTTTGTTTGCCCCATATTCACTTCATAAATTGCCAAAAGTAAAATACTTTAGTATTTAAAAGGAATGTTACTTTGACTGATGATTTTTTTATAAAAATATTTTCCTCCTGCCTTTATTTATGTTTTCTGAGGACAAAAATCCATAAAACAAGAGATAGAATTGGTCTGGCCTAAAAGGTATGAATAAAAGAAGCTTTCAGATGCCATTGTTTTTCCCCGGCACCAAGAGACATCGCTCATTCTGATAGACAAAGTCAACATGATGGCCACAAACTTGATTGAATAAACCATTACACGTTAATGAATGTGTTACTGTAATTCATGAAATTAATGCGAGCATTTTATTAATGCGAAAAATGCGTCTGTACTCTACTCGCATTATTATAATGACGCATTTCAGTCAAACCATGTCTACTTTTGAGAACTTAATAAAAGACAGAAAAGGTAAATCTCTTGTCATCTTTATTGTCTTCAGGTTAGCAATCATCATAACAATACAGAATATAACAACAATTCAGACATCTCTCATAAAATTAATTTGCAAATGAGCACTAATGTGCGTGACACTACTTGATATCGATTGAACTTCATTCATCGGCAAATTTTGTAACAATAGCGGAGGTGTTGACACTACACATATACTACACACCAATACAGGTCACTTCCTCATTACAGGTATCTCAAGTCAATTATCACTGGTTACGATCACTAGTCATTGTTCAAAGTCACTCATGCACATCAGTCAGGCCGGACATTCTCCAACCACACTGGATCATTTCGCGATCTTTGCTCACCTTTGAAATCGCGGCTTCCATCAACCTGGTATGAAGAGGCTTCATTACGCTAATGCGTAAATCAACACGTGTCCTTCTTTGACTCCGTCAAATTCTCCGACACTTTATCGGTGTACCAGATGATAAATTGGTCCTTCATGGCCAACTTGAAATCACCATTGACTGACAAGTCCATAGGTTGGAGCTCTCCCGTACATCCTGCAGGCACAAATCGCACTTCGAAATGTTTTTTCTTCAAGTGATCAAGGAAAGATGCACATCTATGGGCCGCAAATACATAAAAAATCACAAATGATTTTTGTCTCACACCAAGTCCAAGTTGTTTTTTAACTTTCTTCGTGTATGGAATCAACACATTATCCACATAGGTAAGTATGGTATCCTCAGTACTCCAGTTATTGGCCGAGTGAGTCACGTGCCAATCGTCTGGAAAGTTGTGATTGGCCTGGCACTTGTTTGTTGTACCTTGGTAGATGACTTGCGGGGGGAGTAAGGTTCCTGAAGCGGAACTGCAGAGAACCATGGTGATTTCACGTTTGTCTTCAATGCCGATCACGTCCACTTGTTTTGCACCCTGTTGGGTTAATGTCCAGCTTGACACAGGCACAATTTTAACTCCGGTCTGGTCGAAGTTAATCACAAGGTCGGCTGGAATCGACTTTGACTCGACTGTCTCTCCTACCGCTTTGATAAACTCTTCCTTCTTGTCATCAAAATCAACTGGGAGCTTCCTGGATGCTTTTGTGGCCTTCCTTTTCACAAACTTGTAGCGATTTAGGAAAGAAAATTCAACCACGACCGGTCAAGCTTAATGGGACCTCCATTTTCATCTAGCAAAGTCCGGTTCTCATGCAACACTATACCCCTAGCAATAGCCAAAATAATGTTTTGATTGATGATTCCACCTGCTGCTCTAATCTCCTTCACATGTTCATATACAAGTCGGTCTAACTCTCCTAACAGTAATGGACAGCCACATGACTTATGGTCGAGTTTGGCGACGTCTTCATCGGGTTTAACACTACTCTTTGCTGCAATGTACGCTTTCTTCATAACACGTACGGCACTTTCCCCTAAACTAACATCTAACACTTGACTAAAGTGCTTCGCCGCATGTGTGTTTCCATGGTCTACTGCGTACTTGGCATCTTGGCTCTTGTCTCGGGTGAATAGTGGTTGTTGGTCCTTTTTCTCTTCATACCTCTGCAAGACGTAATTGCATCAGGGTTGTAGTCAGACATCTTAATGATTTCCTTGTTGGCCGACTCTATTCGCGAGGCTTTCTCAGGTGTCTCGGCTGTCGTGGGGACTGGCAAGCCAACAGGCTGGCGCTTGGTCACAGTAATATACTTCAGCATGATTTGACAGTTTGTGACATTGCACAATT